CTGCCAAAGTGTCATTAGCCCAGGTGGCCACCTGAGACCGCTTCTGGTGAACCACCAAGAACTCTTGGAACCTTTTATCTTCTTCCAGCTGTGGAAAAAGAAACCAAGCAGACAAGCTGTGAAGACAGACATGGGAGAGCTTGTAGTGAGTTAGAATTCAAAGATATCATCTCACTTCCAGCAGTGTAACAAAACAAATCCCTCAAGGGAGGCTCACTTCACACTGACAAGGTGAGCACCTGAAGTGACTCAAGCCTCCTCAACATCATGGAAACAAGGAGTCTCTCGGTCCTACTCTTTCTTTTCTGTATTTGATGTTTAGAAAGTACTTTAAAGAAGCAGCCAAAACATTAAAAAGAGAAAAAAGCTACAAGTCAAATGTGACAAAACTCAGATATGGTTAAAACCCAGCAATTGCAAAACAGGACCGGCCTGGACGCAATGCATGGGCACACAGCAGGAGCTAACAGTTAAAAAAACTGGTCCCCAGCATCAGGAGTGTTACAACAATGGTTTGCTACAGTAGAATTGGACTGACATGGAGTTGGTTAAATCACACACCTTGCCTGAATTAACAGCATGGGAAGCAGGGTACAGAAAGGAGCTGCTCAGCTCTTGCTCTTAATACAAGCTAGCAAGAAGGCAGGGACTGGAGTTCAACCTCAACTCACCTCCTTTAAGTTTTCTGTTGGATCTTTCTTCTTTTTATCCTAGGAAAAGACAAACAAAAATCAAAACCACCTTTGGAAAGGCTTATTAGAAACACAGTCAAGATAATGCCAGGTAACCTAATGGTACAGGAACACAGATACTAAGGCAAGAAAATACCACAACCAGGACTCCAACACCACTGTTCCAGCTACTCCATCCCCTTCTCCTCACACCCGGCTACCCTTCTCTTTCCCAAGTCACTGACACCCAGCAGAGCCTCAAGGAAACAAACAAGACTCACTTTCTTTGTGCCTGCAGGAGCTGCATTTACCACAGGTTTCTCAGTCTGTTTCTCAGAGGCAGGGACCTTCTGAGAGTGCTTACTCCATGCTTTGGGTTTTGAAGGGTCACCAAAAGGCTTGCATAACTCAACCTGAAAAGAGGAAGATCTTTGGTTAAACGTATGCTCAACACACTGTAACTGCTGGTTAAGCTTCACCCAGGAACCTTTCTTATAACCCTGACAGGATGGAAGGGAGATGCATTGAGAACAGGCAACAAAGCTACACATCCCCTCAGCATGGGGAACAGTTTATGGTGCTCATTTAGGCACAAAGAAGCTGTCCTGGTTATTGTGAATCATTCTCTGTCCAGAACGGCAGATGAATGACCTGAGAAAAAAGGGGTTAGGTTCTAAAGCTCAGATTATGCCAGCTCAATATCTGACACTGCTGTTCCAACCAGCACTGAAATCACTGCTACTGCTTGGACACAGCTCATCTGATTGAAGCAACTGCTCCAGACTCCAGCCATGAGGTTTGACATCAGGCTTTGCTCTCTTGCTACGGAGGACTTAATCTTTCAGCTTTCCTGGGTACCAAAATCTCCAATAACAAACTTCCTTAGGAATGAAAGGAAGACAGTTCTAAAGATCTGCTCACTGTGATTCTGGATGTGTCTATGAAACTTCTGTTGAAGTGGTTCAGTGCTGTCTGAGCTTCCTCTTCAGACTTGTAGCCAATGAAGCCAAATTTCCTGAACTTGCCCTCCTTGGTGAACTTCAGGCAGCAATCGGTCAGTGTGCCAAAGGCAGCAAACAGGTTCCGAAAGCGCTCTTCTTTCATCTGGGAAATGCAGGAGGACAAAGGAAGGAAAATCAACAATGCAATACATCAACTTGTACTGGGCACTGGTGAGGCCACACCTTGAATCCTGTGTTCAGCTCTGGGCTCCTCACTACAAGAGAGACATTGAGGGGCTGGAGTGGGGCCAGAGAAGGGCACTGGAGCTGGTGCAGGGCCTCGAGCCCAAGTGTGATGGGGAAGGGCTGAGGGACCTGGGGGGTTCAGTCTGGAGAAGAGAAGGCTCAGGGGGGACCTGATGGCTGCCTCCAACTGCCTGACAGGAGGATGGAGCCAGGAGGGGCTGGGCTCTGCTCCCAAGGAACAAGGGATGGGACAAGAGGAACCAGCCTCAAGCTGCACCAGGGCAGGGTTAGATGGAGCTGAGGAACAATTCCTGCCCCAGAGGGTGCTCAGGCATTGGAACAGGCTGCCCAGGGCAGGGCTGCAGGCACCGGCCCTGCAAGTGTTCACACCCTGTGGAGACAAGGCCTCAGTGCCATGGGTTAGTGGTGGCCTTGGCAGTGCTGGGGTAAAGAGTGGATTTGATGAGCTTAAAGGTCTTTTCTAACCTGCTTGATTCTATGTTTCCAACCAGATAAACACTTTGCAGACAAGCCCAAAACGTTTCCTATCCAAGAGCTACCAATGTGCTACAGGAACCAGCACATTGTGCTGTATCGTGTCATACTGATTAAACCCACACACGTCAATCACCAAACCCCTTCACTTCCCCTCTAAGTCCACTCCATGTACAGATCTCTGCATGCAACACTCCTGCAGCTAAAGGCTGCACCCCGAGCCCAGGGTCCAACAGCGCTGCCCTCCCAGTTATCTCCCACTTCACCCACAGGAACAGTGGGACCCCACGGGGCCCCCGCACATCCCCACAACCCCTCATCCCCTTACAGCCCCATGCTTCTCCCTCTCCGGTCCCCCTAGACCCATCTCTACACCCGGAAGGGCCCCTCCTCCCCGCAGCCATGAGCAGGCTCACCCCATTGGGGAGGTTCTTCACGATAAGTCGCGACATGGCAGCGACAGGGACCGGCCGCCCCACGGGAAAACCCCTCCACGCTCAGTGCCGCACACGCCACTCTCCGGGCGCCGCCATCTTGCCGCTGAGTCACGTGGGAGAGGGGAATGCAGCGCGCCGGCGCCAGGGGCGGGACCCGGATGTTGGCAACCGGTCCTTGGCAACGGACCCCTAGCAACAGCCTTGGCAACGGGTGCCTAGTAACGGAGGAGCCGGGGGGATAACGGGGAGCATCTGGGAGCACAGTGGGGACAGGGACCGGCCGGGCATGGGGGAACTGGGAAGGGGAGCCAGAGGGGACGCAGCTACATATCAGCACAGCCAGTGGGGGCTGTATTGCAGAAGCTCCCATGGGCAAGAGAGGCTGGAATCATGGAAGAAACACCCCCTGCGGTTTATTAAACACTGAGGGTCCTCTCCTACCTGAGCATCCGGTGCTGGAGGGTGAGAGAGTGTTGGGGAAGTGGGACCATTCTCCTTCAAGCATCTCCTCTTTACAGCCCTTCAGTCCAGCTCTGCCTGTCTTGAACAAGGGGCAGTGAGCTGAGCCCAAAATCTGGCTACACTGCAGTTCCTATGGGAAGAGACTGCTGACAGCGCTCAACCTCGGCACAGTGCTCACTGGTTTTTCACCTACCAGTTTGGCTCCACACCGGATTTACCACAAGGATGGAGGCTGCCTGTGTCCAGAGCAAGCCACTTCAGCACGGGGGTCTTCCAACCCACAAACACCATCTCCTAATGCTCCTTTTGAGAGCCAACTGGCTGTGCCCTTCCTAAAGAGTCAAAGCAGCAGGGAGTGCATCCCAGACTGGTTTGGGTTGGAAGGGACCTTAAAGCTCACCTGGTTCCAACCCCTTGCTACAGGCAGGGACACCTTCCCCTAGAGCAGGTTGCTCCAAGCCTCATCTCAGTCTTCCCCAATGTTTTCAGGTAATTTGGGGTGAACAGGAAACCCAGCCACACCACTGCTACGTCCCAGTGTCCTGGCAGGACGGGGGGGATGCAGGCTTGTTAACTAGAGAGTCCAGCCTGAGCCCATCCTCATGCCCTCCATCAGGTCAGCAGCGAGGGAAACACGAGTTTTCCATGGAAGGAGATCTGTGGCAATGACCAGGCCCTGTGCACAGGGAACAGGATGGAGGGGGATGCTGCTGGGACTGCTCAAAGGGAAAACACCCAGCATAAAGCCCTCAACCCACAGCCACAACTGGGGTACCCAGGAGGTGGTGCTCCTGCCGCCCTTCAAAGAGGTATCCAGGAGGTGTCACAGTACCAGGGACCCATCTCCCTCCCCTCCTTGCCCTCTGCTCCTGCTTTGTCCTTGTCCAGGCTGTCAGGATGTCACTCGGGATGAAGGCTGGCACTGACAGGGCTGTGCTTACACCATCACTAACACATCCAGCCCTTGCCCTTGTCACTCCCATCCTCTCTCCTTCCCCATCTCCTCCTCACCTTCTGCTCACAGCCAGCAGCAGCTCCCTCTCTTGCCCACACTGGTAGGACAGCACTGTCCTTGCCTGCTCCTGCCTCCCAACCCAGCACTGCTGGGACAGACATGCCCTGGACTTAGCCACATGTCCTGCTCTCAACAGGTCCTCACCTCCAGCCACACCTGGGACTGCAATTCCCCTCCTACCAACCTCTCCTGCCACTGGGGTTGATCTTCCCCAGCTGAGGATGCTCTGGGGTCCTCTGAGGGTGCCTGGGACCAGAAAGAGACAATTCTCCAATGAAGCTTAGGAGATAGAGGTTTAACCGAGCCAGGTGCCCAAGCAAAGAAGCCCCAGTGTCCATGTGGGGACGTGGGTTTTGCAGTGCTCAGCTTTGCTAACCCCACTTCTTTGAAAACAACAGATTTTAGCCCTCCCCTGATGCAAAGATTCAATACAGAGGCACAAGCTTTACAAATACTGACTTTAGATTTGATTTCCTTTGTGGTTTCTGCTCCCCAGGATGAGTCAAAGGTTACAGAGGTTAAGAGCTGGATCAGCATCCTTTATTCTGGAAAACTGGAGATTTTGGGGGTATCATGGGGACAAGAGAGCTGCTCCTTCAGCAGGTGATCCTGCTGCACTGCATGAGGTCATTTCTGATCAGAGATCCCAGCTCTGGGTAGACAAGAGGGAAACTGAAGCCCTGTCTTGAGAAGACTCAAAGGAGGTCTTGGAAAGCAGTTCCCAGCACTTGAATATCTGCCCTGAGCATCATCCCTAACCCTTCTGCTGCTGGCACACAGCATGGGGAGAGGATAGACTGGGAACTCTGCAGCCAGCTCGGGTGCAGGTTGGACAGCCCCTGCCCCAGAGCAGAGACCGGCAAAGAGGCTGGATAAATTGGGGTTTGTTGGGTTTCCCCCCTCTCCCTATGGAAACTGTTGTCTTTGACGATGCCAGTGTCAATACTCCTGTCCCTGTGCCACCAACAGTCCCTGCGGCAGTGCCAGACCTGCTCCTGGTGGGGTGTCCATAGCCGAGGATGGGATGGATGCAGCAGCCGTGCCAGGAGCTGGGTGAGGAAGGGAAAGGAAAAGCAACTGCTCCCAGGTTTTAAACTGGGTGAGAGCAGTGAGGGGCAGAAGCTAACTGGGAGGTGATGAGTCCAGCAAAGGTGACACAGCACCAACCCACAGCCACCATAGATAGCACCAGATTTGCCCTCCTGTCCTCCCAGTTGGCTCCACATTGGTCTGGTGGCAGGGTCAGGATGATGGCTTCAGGGTCAGGGTGATGTCCCTTCACCTTCATCCTCCAAATCCCCCCATTGCTTGGCAGAAGGGGGACCCAAGTCTCTGTCATCCCCTGCACGAAGAGGAGGGGGAAGACATGGTCCCTCCACAAGCTCCATCCAGTCAACCTGTCACAACACATTAGGTGGCCAGCTCAGCAGCCAGCTGGACAGGGGCTTGCACAGCATCAAAGAGCAGGGGTCACCTTGCTGTAAAAGGGTATTATGGGCTGCCTGCAGCCAAGCAGCTGAACTTTGCAAAGCAGGGTTAGGGCAAGGGACCACGGTGTAAGGGGCATCACTCTATGGGGAGAGGCAGGTAGAGATGAGGGGCAAAGGGTGCCCAACATTGTGCTCCGGGAGCTGGATGCACCAGGGGTGAAGTGCTATGGAGATGGAGAGAAGGAAAGAAGCTGCACAGATCCTGTGTATCCCTAGGGATGATAAAGGAGAGGCCAGATGCAAAGTCCTTCTGCTGTCTTTGGGGAGATTCTTCTTGGCCTGTAGCCCCTACAGTGTCCAAAGGGACACTGAGGTTTCTCCCTGATTTCCCCATGTGCACAGCCTGTCATTCCTGACATCCCAAGAAAGGGCTGTGACTCCAAGTGAGGATGCTTGCTGTGACTGCCCTGGGCTGGAGGCACGCACTGCCAGCCCTGCCTGAGAAGGGCAAGGACAGCCCCGAGGAGCCCTTCATGCCTGTCTGATCAGGAGTGCCTTGGTCACCATGGGACACTGAAGGTGAACAGGGAAGGTAGGATCCATCTGAACCAAGGTCACCCTGGCTGGCATCCCCCATACCAGGCAGCCATTCAGGTGCTCAAGGGATGATGCTGAGCAGGTTTGAAAGCTATAAGGAGTCCTTAGCATACCCATCATAGAGCAGAGTAGAAGGGCAGAATCCCCTCCCTTGACCTGATCATCTTTTAGATGTAGATAATGAACAATATCAGGCCACAGAGGCTGTAGCCCAGCTGAGGACCTTCTTCAGCTAATTAAGTTAACCCACAGATACCAGCAGGGACAGGGATGAGTGTGACCCAGCACCAATCACTGCCAGGTTTTGCTGTGCTAGCATCCCACCAAGGCACTCTGTTCACATGGATAGTGTTATATTAACAGCACCATTGGAAATGCTGCTTGAACCTCCTGGGTTTTGCTGCTGAAGATGTTAGGTTTTGGGAGCAGAGATGACTGGATTCGTCTCCCATGAGCAGATTGTCCTGCCCAGTCCTGGAAAAAGGAAATAAAAGACTACCTTTAATGATACAGTTGATGCCTGGAAATGCAGTGCCCAATTCACCTGCCTTGTACCCAAGATGGGGCCAAGGGAGGAGCAGGACAAAGCATCCTTCTGAAGGGCTCCATCGCTGGGCAGCTGGGATCTACTTGCATCCTTGCCTGGGGGATACAATGGCTGCAGTGTGTCTATAGGCAGTAGAAAAGGGCTTTCAACCAGCTAAACCCTCCCCTGAACCTGCTGCTCAGCTGAGGAACTGCCCTGCAAGCGTGTCTATGGCTCTGATCTCTGTGTGTCTGCAGTTTTGGGATAGAGATCATGTCCTTTCAAAGCCTTACAGCTAAACTGTAATGCTGAGTAATGAGAGGTAGGTCTGAGGGTGGAAAGGGGGAGGAGAGCTTTTCCTCATCATGTCCTCATATACTGGCAACAGGTAGGCTTGCTATAGAGAAGCATTCACAAAGGACTTGGGAGCCCGGATAGCCCAAGTCCTTTGCATCACAGAGGTGAGGAGCAGAGGTAAATCATGTGCACAAACAGTAAAGCATCCTCCAAGACACAGTTGATGGGATCACACTCATCCTGCAGAGGAGCCACCATCAGAGCAGGTCTCAGACCTCCTTCCTGCCCACCTAAAGCCATGGGAGATGTCGGTTGTGCTCTGTCCGCTGCTGCCCCTTGCCTGTCCATCCACTCATCCATCCATCCACTCATCCAACCATCCATCCATCCATCCGTCCGTCCATCCATCCATCCATCCATCCATCCACCCATCCATCCACTCATCCATCCACTCATCCATCCATCCACTCATCCAACCATCCATCCATCCATCCGTCCGTCCATCCATCTGTCCATCCATCCATCCGTCCATCCATCCACTCATCCATCCATCCATCCACTCATCCATCCATCCATCCATCCATCCACTCATCCATCCATCCACTCATCCATCCATCCATCCACCCATCCATCCACTCATCCATTCATCCACTCATCCAACCATCCATCCATCCATCCTCCTCCATCCATCTCCATCCATCCATCATCCATCCATCCACTCATCCATCCATCCATCCACTCATCCATCCATCCATCCATCCATCCACTCATCCATCCATCCATCCATCCACTCATCCATCCATCCATCCATCCACTCACCCATCCATCCATCCATCCATCCGTTCATCCATCCACTCATCCATCCATCCATCCATCCATCCATCCATCCATCCATCCATCCATCCATCCATCCATCCATCCACTCATCCATCCATCCATCCATCCATCCACTCATCCATCCATCCATCCATCCATCCACTCATCCATCCATCCGTCCATCCATCCACTCATCCATCCATCCATCCATCCATCCATCCATCCATCCATCCATCCATCCATCCATCTCCACTTCCACCACTTCATTTTCCTCAACCTGTCTGTACTTGTGTGTGTGTGTAAATGGACTCAGGGGAGGGTCCAGGCAACAGCTGCCTTTGATCAGTGCAACATGTGTGAGATGGAGCACTTCAGGAATGCCGCCTCCTGATCAAAGGTGGAAACACAGTGACAGCCAGGTCTTGGCAAATGCCCATCCCTGCTGGGGAGCTGGATCAGAGACCCACACAGGCAGGCTAGCCCTTGGCACATTGATGGGATCAGTCCATGCCCTGATGCAGGGTGAGGGGCAGGAAGGTATCTCCCATCTGCTCCACAGGGCTCTGTTCTGATCCAGGCATTATCCTCTCTGCAACAAGGCAAGCAATAGCATTTCCATCCCTGCTCCTGCATGCCAAGAAACCCTGCTTGCCCCTGCCAGCATCTCCAACAGCTCAGCACACACCAAACCCTGCAGCTCCCTTGGAGGGGATGCCCAAAGGGAAGCAAGTCAGTGATGCCTTAACGCTTTTGCCCCCTCTATAAAGATGAGGTGAGGTTTGAAAGGTCCCTTGCTCTAAAATCAGCTGGGAGGAAAAGGGACCACTAATTATCCCCCTCCTGATATACACCCAGGGTTTGGGGACAGCAAGGACACAGTTTGCATCTCCCCTCCATCCCCAGTGCACAGGTGGCAACATGGGCAGCCCCAGTTGTGGGATGGGTCCCAACACCGAACCTGTCCAATGTCACCCTCCTCTCCATGGATGCTCTTGTCTCCCAGTGGGCTTTCTCCTGATAACCCCGGTGGGAAGCTGGGAAGCCCATCCATATGGAGCTGGTGGACTGAGGCAATGCATTGTGTGAGCCAAGCTCAGCCCCACTGATATGCAGCCAGCTCTGTCCCACCACAATGCTCAGCTCTCCCATTGGGAACCATGCTGATGTTTCACTCCAGCAGTTTCAACCCTCATGCTCTGCCAGCAAAAATGATCCCACCCCATGCGCTCAGTGCTTTCTGCATCCCCTTGTCCTCACCCCAAACACCTTCCTCCTCCCCATCACTGTTTAGGTATCGCTTGGCCAAGGCCTCTCTATCATGTTAAAAAGGGAAGCTTTTAAGAAGGGCTGATAAGGGTTCCTCCTGCAGGGTCACCCCATCTCCCCAGGCAGGTCACAGGTCGCTTCCTCACCACACATTGCCTGATAGCAAGTCAATCCGTGCTGGGGTTATGGAGACAGGATTTATCAGCAAAGCCTGGGAAAACCAGGACATGGAAGCATCCGCTCACACAGCAGGGTCTGGTAGGGAGCCTTGTTTGTGTGTGGATGGAGAGCTTAAGAGCTGATGGGGCTGGCACAGAGGAAGGTAGGGGGGTAACTTGGGAACAAGCAAAGGTGGGAGCAGAGCAGCAGCTTAAGGGTTGGGCTCCTAGCTTGCTCCACAGTGGTGATGCTCTGCGCTCCATAGCAACCCGAAGGGGCTGCCACACCAAGTAGGAATGGCTGAGATGTCCCATTCAAGACCAGCCTGGGAAAGGGAAGCCCCAGCTCTGCACTGGTGGGACAAGGCGATGCCATCCTCTGTACCTGTGTGTTTATTCTCCCTGTTGGTGCAGGCACAAGATGGGGTGGGGGGTGCCAGGTCTCCCTGGGGAATGTGTGAAGCTTCAGACCCCTAGGAAAGACTTGGAGGAAGAATAAGCTCCAGTAAGGCAGGATGACTGGCCTGATCAGCACTGCCACATCCCCATAGACATAGTCATGCCATACAAATCCCAGCCCAAGGGTTTACCCATCCCACAGACCACAAAAGGGCTTTCCCCCCCCCCAAACCAGATAACAAACCAGCCTCCATCCACAGCTATGCCTACAGCTGAGTATGAAAGCCAAAGAGCAGAAAGGGAAACTGAGGCACAGGGAAGGGACAGCCTGGGACACAGCTGCAGCCTCCCCTTGCCATACCCAGCCTATTTTCACTCCAGCACCAGGAGTAACCCAATGGCCACACCAAGACGCTCACTTTTAGTGGGTTATAGAGGTGGCTGGAGGCATCCTGAGCTGCAGAAACAGCCCTTGGTGCAGGGATGCAGCTGCTCCATCCTGTCCTGGGTGGGCAAACCAAAGCCAGTGCCTGGGCATGAATGGAGGGAAGATTTAGGAGAGCAGAGAGGCAACAGCAGGAGAAAGGAAAGCATCAGGCACCACTCACGCTGCTCTGAGGCAGTTTGGGTACACCTCAGGAGAGCCACACACAGCAAACACATGGACAGGCAGCATGGGAAGGACAAGATGCGACAAGGGAGAGCAATGACAAGAGGCCATGGAACATCCCCGGCCAAGGACCTGCTACCTACCCAGGCTGCCCTCCCTCCCCAGCCCCTCTCACCACTACATGCAGCTTGCAATCACTTTTCCTTATCAGAGAGGCTTAGCAGGGTGAGTATTGAAAGCACCTGCATCCCTTGGCCAGGAATCAAAGGCCCCAGTGCTGGGATCCTGCACAATCATTCCAGACCAAATGCTGTCTGCAAGGATGTAGAACACCCTCTTCTCCTCAGCAACCTCCACCAGAGCACAGTGCAAGTAGAATAAGCAATGCCATATGGTTTATTAGCCACGGAGCTAGGAGCTGACACTTGGTTTCGTGTACCAGTATGAAGGCATCAGAAGTGGGTCTATCACAGACATGTTTTCCCTGCCAGCACACTGGAACAAGGCAGGAGAGGTTGGATTTATTTGGGAACGTGGCACAAGGATGAGTTCAGAGTATGGAGAGATGAGGTTAGATTAGGTTGTGGCAGATAAGGGAGAAATCAGAGCTGTCACCTGGGTTAATAGCTGTTTATAGCATGAAGGGCCAAAGAAGATGCAGTGCCATGGTCCAAGCCCCACCACTCACCCTCCTCACCCAGCAGAGCATCAGTGGGATGCAAAGACCGTAAGTGATGCCAGCTCCACTGCATCCCAGGGTTGCTTCTTCCTCCCACCCCTCCTGAAGGACACATTCCCTCCCTAGGGAGTCAGCTTCACTCCAGCATCCTGACATGATGCTCCAAACCTGGCTTCTCAATGGGCTCATGGCAAAGCCCTCACAAAGCCCAAAGTGCATTCAGGGTCCTCACACTCTTTTCTAAGCCAAATCAGCAGTGGGTGGGCTCTGCCTTCTTTGACCAGACCAGCGTGGTCAGGCACCACATTACATCTCACTTAGGATGGGTTTAGGTGGACTTCAAGAGCAGATGTTCCAGTGAAGGAGGAGCCCACACCTGAACCATGCCAATCTGAAGCATTAAACATGGGAATCCTATGAGAAGGTTTTCACACTGAGTATAAAACCATTTAGGGGCTTTTGCACACTTGAAGCCATTCGCTTGTCTTCCCATCCCTGCAGCAGCTCCTCTGCTGCAGCATCAGACCTGCTGGTCTGAACCATCCCTTCATAGAGATGTGAGATCTCTTTTTGACAGGGATTTCACTTCTCTACACGGCTTTTGTATAGCTCCAAATGCTCACATCATGGGCATCCATCCCCTCATTCCTTATAAACAGGAGAGTTCATGCCAAGCCTTGGATGACAAGAACACCAGAAACACCAGCTTTCATATCAAGGCTTCACAGGCTGATGGTGAACCAGCTCCTTAGAGGGCTTCACCAGGCCCCCATCTGGAAGCAGATTTGAGTTCACTGCATCTATTCTGTTTCTCTCACATCAATAGGGACAATGTCCCCAGCACTGGGAAGTGACCTTGGACTTGACTGGGATGCTGTGGTCCTAGAGACAGCCACCCCCAGCTCCACACTGGAGAGTGCAACAGGGTCCTGCCTGCAGAGGACTCACTGTCTTCAGCCCATCTCCCATCTACACACAATAGAGGCCATAACTCTTCTTAGGAGAGCCTGTTGCATCTCCTGGGTGCAGCAACGTGCAGGGACAGCTTCGTCCAATGCTTCCATCTGCTTTACTGAGCACACCTACAGGGATATTTAAGTTGCAAGGAGCAGCTTCACCCTGCCTGGGGGATGTAAATACCCTCTGGGCAGAGCAAAACCACTCAGCTCCCTCCTTTCCTTGCTGCTTGGTCTTCAGCATCACCACCCCTGTGCCAGAGCATCCATCTGAGCTGCTGCAGCCCAAGGGCACTGCATCCTCCCGGGTGCTTACACCCCGTAAGCCACCACATGAACACCTCACCAGACACCTCCAGCAGTTTATACACCATACTGGGCTGCCCCACCAGTGGAAGGGGGGTTTCAGTGCCCTTTTAAGTGGGGTGAAGTGTTGGAGCAGAGCAAGCTGGGGAGAGGATGGGAACAAGCTGTTTCCATAGGGGAGAGCCCTGGAGCCCTCCTCCAGCACCCAGCTGCTGACAAGTGGTACCCAGCTTCACATCAAGCACAGAGAGGGCTGGAGGGGAAAGCACAGGCTCTCCAAACCTCACACAACATTGAGCACAACCAGGATATCTATTTAATGGGGTCAGTACAAGAGGTTTGAGCTGAGCTGGAAAGGATGCTCCACACAAGTGCCTCAGCACTGTGTGCATGGAGAGGCCCCTGTGCTCCCCAGCATCCTGCCTGGAAGGGGTTAAGGGTCCCCCAAAGCAGATCTGTTGAATCACAGCACATTCAGTGCCCTCATGCTTTTTCCTTAAGCAAATTCAGTCATTTCAGCAGCCAGTGTGGTCAGGCACCACACAGCATCTCACTCAGCATCAGCTTGGCAGGAGCAAACAGGGTTTTTCCCGTACCAGTGAAGGGGGAGCGCTGGTTGGAGCAGCCTGGGAACAGAGAGAGATGCTAAAGCTCACTTTGATTTTGCAGGGTGATGCTGCAGCTGCAGCTTTGCCTGCTGCAAACACAGCTTGTGCAGTTTATTTTCCTGCTGCCAAGGCTGGATGTTGGAAGCTGCCAGGCGCAGGGCCCTTTGAGGGAGGAACTACAAAGCAGGCTGACACCTCTAATGAATTACAGTAATACCAGCTCGGGGTGAACTCTAAAGTGCCTGTTTACACAATCACTGACCTCCCTTCACCCGCTCTCTGGTGCAAGTCCCCTCCCCTGCCTTGATGGATCACAGCTGAATGGAGGCAGACCCCGGTGTTTATCATCTCCCAGCGTTGGGAAGGGAGGGAATAACAGTTTCCTGGCATGCTGGCCACCACCAGTGATAACAAGCCCAAACATCACTTGATGCACAGGGAAATACCCTCTGCATCTTCTTTGGTACAACTCTCTCTTTGGGGGAAGGCCCCATGCAGGGGAGGTGGCTTTCAACAGCATCAGGCAGTGGTACTCACAGTGAGACTCTCATAGGGGCAGGGATGGGAGCAAGGGCAGCCCCTGTGCTTACAAGGGCCTGTAGGGACAGGCCAAGGGGAATGGCTTGAACCTGCCAGAGGGGAGACTGAGCTGAGCTCTTAGGCAGAAGCTCTTCCTTGTGAGGGTGCTGAGGCGCTGGCACAGGGTGCCCAGAGAAGCTGTGGCTGCCCCATCCCTGGCAGTGCTCAAGGCCAGGTTGGACACAGGGGCTTGGAGCAAGCTGCTCCAGTGGAAGGGGTCCCTGCCTGTGGCAGGGGTTGGAGCTGGAGCAGCTTTAAGGTCCCTTCCAACCTAAACCACTCTGGGATTCCATAACTCTATGCTCAAGCACTGTTCCAGCTCCTGGCTCTCACGGCTTGAGGATTGCTGGCAGAGCTGCTCCCTCTGACAGGCTCAGCATCAGCCTGGAGGGAGCAGCTTCTCCGTGAAGCCCTGAGCTCGGTGCAAGGTGGGAAGCTGGTGTTTAGATCAAGTTAGGGGGAGAAAGCAAAGGCATCAGGGCAGCAAGTTCCTCCTTCCACCACATCTCCAGGCAGAGCTCCCTCAAGGCCAGCAGAGATGTGGGACCAGCACCTCACAGTGCCTGAACCAAGACAAGTAAAGAGGAAATGGACATCCCCAGCTAAGGGGATGTCGGGTGTCCTCACCCACAGACCCCAGTTCTTCCTCTCTGTTGATGTCCCACCTGGTGCAGGCAGAGCCTGGTTAAACACCACTGTTTCCACCCTCCATGCGATCCCATCATTCATCCCCAAGGAGGACATCCTTGTGCCTGGGCTCAGACCATCACACACGTGGGTATGGGACCAGCAGCATCCTTAGCTCCCCTCTCCTGCCGCGTGGCACAGTCACAGGAGTCCTGGGATTGGAAAGCATCTACAGCATCACCCTGTAAAAGCCAGAGACCCAGGCAATGAGAGCTCCCAGCAGCAGAGGTGTTAGACCACAGTGTCCCAGCTCTGGACACTGAGGAGAAAAACTGGGTTAGAGAAAGGGCTGAGGGATGCTCAGCTGCCAACAGGGAGGAAGGGCAGGAGGATGCTCTGTGCCACAGCCACCCGGCTGCTCTCTCTATGCCATGGCTTGGTTTAGCTCCAGCAGTGGGAGACAGTCTTTAATAGAGCCAAGCTTTCCCTCCCCTTGTACTCAGAGGATGAGAGCATCAGTGCTGGCCCCTGGGGAAGGTGCTTCTCTGTTTCCCTGCTCACCCTCCGACCCCTTCGTTTTGTTCCAGAGTTATTTTTGAAAGTGAAAGCTTTTTCCCCCCACCTTTGCCCTGGCCCCCATCTCTCTGCCAGCCAAAGTGGCATTTTAAGCCTCCTGCCCACCCACCCAGAAAAATGGAGGCTGAGGAGGGGTAGAGTTAAGCCTTTCCATCCACCCAGCAAACAGAAGGCCTTTGGGAGGCCTTTTCAACTCATTAACCCTCTGCCAACTCAGCTGCCCAAAGAGATGCTCTCAAACATCGCTATGGGAATTACCTGCCCTCCACACCAGTCTGTGGGGTGGAGGAGGGCTGCAACCCTCAAAATAGGGGCTTATCCCATGTCTTCTTCCCTACAGCATTACAAAACCTACGTGATTCATTACAGCATTGAAGTACCTACAGCCCCCCTCATCATACACCAAGTCCCAACTGCACTCCAAGTCCTGCTTCCACTCAGAGCTGTATGAATCAAGAAGTTCCCATGCCAAAAAGCTATAGGGACTCGTAACAGGAACCTTATGCCATCAAAAATACACACACAGAGCAGGAGATGAGCCCTGCTTCCTGCTGCTGGCAGTCAGAGGAGGGATGTTCAAGCCAACGAGCAGGTACCAAAACCCATGGGGTCACTTCATTCATCCCCTCCTTGCTGCAGGTGCTGCTCTGCAGTGCTGGATGCCTGGAGGCATGGATGCTGGGCATTGCTGGCTGCAAAGGATGAGGAAGAGCCCGGTCCCTGCCACTCATGGGGATGTGGATGGTGACAGGAGGATGCTGGGAACCAGGGGACAAACCACACTCGAGGGGAATGAGAAAACCCTGAGCTGCTCTGTAATAACACAGTCCC